TCTCTGGTGAATCCTCTCACCCTCCGCATCTCTGGTCTGTACCCCAGTTCTGTACTAATAAATAAACAAATCTTTAAAAAAAAAAAGAATCCTTCGATGAAGATTCTTATTTTAGACATTTACTTACAAAGTATAAAAATCACGTTTTCCCAAGGTCACCTGGATGTTGATTGGGACTGTAAAACTTGACCTGCTGCTGGATAACTGTTCTACTTAATTCTTAGTTCATTCATTACCCTCTTGTAGCAACCAACAGTAACCATTTAGAGGGCATCATTTCTCCTTGCAAACTTTCTTCTAGCTCATTGGAGCTTTTGGGAGCAAATCTGTACTCAAGTTAGATAGAAAATAGTCTAAGCTTCTGTCACACAGAGGACCAAGGTACAGTGGCATGATCAACGTATTAGTCTGTCTCTCTCCTCACGGGAAGGAGGTAGTCTGGGAGTGGGGCACATCTTTGCTGTGGCTTTCATCTGTGGGCCCAAGGGGCTGCTGTGGTCTAAATTGTGTTCCCTCTGGATTTATATTTTGAAGCTGCTAGCCCCGGTGTGGTTATATTTGGAGACAGGATCTTTGCGAGGTAATCAAGGGTAAATGAGGGCAGAAGTCTGGGTCCCTGATCCCATGGGATTGGTAGCATTCTGAAAAGAGAAAGCAAAAGAAGGAAATCTCATTCTGTGTGTCTGTCTCTGCCTCTGTGTGTGTCTCTCCACACACACGGACACAGCTGCACACATGCACACACACACACATACACAGTCTGAGGAAGGTCCTGTGAGAACATGTTCAGATGCAGCCATCTGCAAGCTGGGAAGAGACTCGTCACTGAAAAACAGTCACCAGACCTTGATCTTGGATTTCCAGCCTCCAGAACTGTGAGAAAATAAATTTCTGTTGTTTAAGCCCCCCAGCTTGCAGTATTTTGTTATGGTAGCATGACTGTTTCAGTCATGGACAGTTTTCAGGTAGTAGAAGCAAGAAACAAATATGCGTGTTTCCCTCTTAGGGACACAATGCAAAAGCGATATTGCTCATTTTCAGTCATGTTCTCTTGGCCATAACTTGGTCTTACCAAGCTGCAAAGAAGACTAGGAAGGTCATCTCAGCTCTTTCTCAGTTTATTTCTGGGGAAAACATGACTGGATACCAGCGATTTCCCACCACCCAGAACCCCCCATCTGTCTCCATCTTCTTGGCCTCCGAGGGCCCTAGGGTTAGTGTGAGAATCTGGAGCAGGTGTGATGGGCCCTTGGGGCCACTGAGATGTGGCAGCCCCCAAGTCAGACCCAGCACAAACTCTACCTCAGTAAATGCCCTTGGTAACCATTGGTTCAGCAAACCTATCACCCCATTTTATAGAGGAGGAAACAGAGGAGTCAAGTGATCCGTCAAGAGGCATAGGATTTGAAGCTTAGTTTCTTTCATGAATTCTCCCTTCCATGAAAACTTAAAGAACTCTCATCTGCAAAATGTAGATAATCACACCCACACACAAGATACACATATGAATGTACTTGTGCACTTTAAAAGATTTTTTTGAAAGGTTAATCAAGTATGCCTTTTAATTGTTAATATAAAAGAGAAGGAACTGATACTTATAGATTGTCCACTGCCCGGACTGAAGGCCCTCCCCCACCATGAAGTCAGCCTGATGGGATGCTTTTGTCATTCTGCAGCCTAGGGAGGGGCCCTGATGGTGAGGCTGCAGAAACAGGTCTGGGAGGCTGGAAGATAAAGGGAAGGGCCCTTACATGTGTATATTTCCCCAGTTTACAAAACACAGCTGGAGATACTATCTCTGTAACTGCCCCTGCATCTCTGTGGCATAGGAATTCTTGTTCCCATTTCACAGAGCAGATAAGTAACCCTAAGGCTGAGAGGGGATGCACACCCCAGGCTTCAGGGTGCCCTCTGCTGAGCACCAGCTCTGAAAGTGCATCACAACCAGGCACCCTGGGGAATGCTGACTCCTGGGCTCCACCCTGTGTGCAGGGAGAGTCACTAGGTTGCCAAGAAATGCAATTTTGTGCCGTTCACCTGGACGTTGGTTTGCTGGTGTTCTGTGGCTCACACTTTGAGATACAGCACAAGGAGATGCAGAGTTGCTGGAGGTTCTTGGAAATCTCAGGGTTGAGATCTCCCCTGGAAATAAATGTAGAACCTGGCCAAGTGGGGACGCAGTAGGGGTAATCAGAGAATGCACCCATGGAGGAACCAATGTTCGGTCAGGTAACCAGTCAGAATGTGTCCATTAATTTCCCAACATTAGTGTATGCCACTTACATGAAGCACATAATATAGTCAAACCCACAGGTCCAGGAGAATGAGGAGTTAGTGTCTAATTGGTAGAGCTGTGGTGCTGGACCTCTGAATTGTATACAGTGATATAAAACAACAAAATTTAAAATACAAACTTATACGTGGGGTTATGGTGATGTAGATTTGGAGGGGGCTTTCAGGTCATCTCACAGGGGTCCCCACACCCCCTTCCATGGCTGGGCTACAGCAGATAAACTGGGGGTGTATGAAGAACCTGTGTGCAGAGCCAGCATCTGGTATCCGCTATGGATTCTGGCTCCTCAGGCCATTCTAGACACAAGCGGGAGACCCTATGTCCCCCCCACCCCCACCCCATGTATCTCTCTCCTGGGGTGATGCCTGCTGCAGGTTGTGAGAGGGTATGGCCTACTGCATTAGGAAGAATCAGGGAATTCTTCTTTCCCTCAATAGTCATGTTCTTTTCCAAATTCACAGAACCCCTTAAGGTACTCCATGGGGCCATGATTATAGAATAAAGACTCTACTTCCCAGGATCCCTTACCCAGAGCATGGCTAAGGTCCAGCCAGTGGGCCAGAAGCAGAGCATTGTGTACATTTCCCCAGGTCATGCCCTTCCCCTTCTTCATCCTGCCTCTTGGACAAGTTGGACCTGGGGGTGGCATGACGAGAGAGAAGGAGGCTGTGTTCCCGTGTAATACCCAGCAGTCACATCAGCTCTGGAACTTTCCTAAGAGAAATCAACCACTAGTGGTTCTCAAACCTCACTATACATTAGAATCACCTGGGGAGCTTTGGAGACAACAAAGTCCTGCCCTCCTTAATATCAGACCCAGTCAGCCCAGGGGGGTAGCCTGAGCTCTTGATAATGAAAAAGTTCCCCACTCAAGATAGAGAACCATGGGCTCACGTCACACCCATGTAACCCTAACACATCCATGCTGTGGGATAAGTGAATTGGTCAGGCTTTTATCCCACTGGCCTCTGTGGCTATCACCTGAGGCCTTAATCTAGTTTATGTGAAAGGCACGTGGGGGTGGGGCACTTGTGCTTGACTACGGACACCTGAGAACAGGTGAGTGCGCATGTGCAAGTGTGCACACCTGGGCCTGGAGGTCCCCAATATAAGGGCAGCGTTACTCAGAGACGGTTGGGCTACCAGAGGTCGAGAGGCAGTTCGAGCGGGAGACCACGAGAGAAAGCCCGGAAAAGAGTGTATAGAGACTCACAGGGGCTCAAGTTGCTGTCTCCCTGCTGGCTTGTTTGCCCTGCTTACTATCAAACCCTGTGAAACAGATGCAAGCGCTCCAAAATTCTCCTTTAAACTGCTAGAACCGACGGTGAACCCGCCTGGCCTGGGATGGTCGCAAGGCTCACACTCAGGTGGGTTTTGCTTCTAAAACCTGTGCCCAGTGCTCATACTGCAATTCCTGAGCAGTTCTTCAAACCTGAAGCAGGTGCCATGTCTCCTCTGGATGACACCTCATTCAGCCCTTCTGTGGGGTCAGGAGAGACAGACTGTAATCCTGAGGGGCCAAGTGTCCAGGGAGTGGGATCACATGGGTGAAGGTATGACGAAGGAGAAGCAACAGCAGAAGCAGAGAAGCCTGACAGCTTGAGGAAAGGCCAGTGATGCGGTCATTACTTCTGAACAGGAGTGAGCATATGGCCACTTCCCAGCACTGAGGCTTAGTTGGGGCTGCTGGTGTCAGGCCTTCGGTGCTGAGCTCGTGGCTTTTAGCAGAGGATGACCGCAAGCTTGCAGTGGATGTTAAAGCAGCGAATAATAGCAGGACCAGATTTGTGCTGTAAAACATTTTGGGTCATGTAAGTGAGGGTTCGTTCAAGACTGGAGGTGGGAAGACAGTTTTGAGTTCCAGTGAGAGGTGATGGAATCCGCTGAGCGAAACCTATTTGTATCAGAATTCTGCTAGTGCAGCACATTGTTGATTTTTTAAAAAAAGATTTATTTGTGCATACAGAACTGGGGTACAGGCCAGAGGTACAGGGGGTTGAGAGGATTCACCAGAGACAGTGGGGAGCAGAACAGGCAGATCCACGAAGTACACTGCTGAGGGGAGCAGCGGGCGGGTCAGGAGAGGTCTGCCACGCCATGTGGGTCACCTCTGGGCGGGGATTGAACACCTGCTGAAGTACCTTTAGCTTCTCAGTGCTGTGTTTTAACCTGCTG